TTGGTCTTGGCCCCAGTTCAGTAGGGTCACATGTAGAACTCAGAAAGTGCAATTTCAAGATGCAGCGTCCCCTCCTCCGCCCACCTGTCCTGCTTGGTCCTGACCAGGGAGAAAGTAGCACCACTGTGGAGCAGGGCACAGCAGGCAGCCTGGGGGAGGGTGGGCGCTGTCAGGGAGAAGAGGATGGAACCGGCTCTCTGGTCACCAGGTCATACGAAGCAGCAGCAGCAGCAGAGGCAGCAGCAGCAGAGGCAGGTGAAGACACCTACTAAGAAGCAGGTAGAGTGGCAGAGAGGGGACCCCTAGGACTTGCTGGGACTGGGACAAGTGGGTGCTGCCTGGAATGTGAAGGGATGTATGAGAGGTGGAATTCTCCCTGTTCTCTGTCTGGTTATAGATACAAAGTTCCTGTCTGGTTGTAGATATTAACTTCCTTCTTTTAGACTCATTTTTGAAAAGTTTTCTTCGTTTCCAGAAGTCCTAATTCACTTCTTCCTTATGTGGGTTTCAGGAGGCTAAAAAGAAATCCAAGAGCGATCCAGGGAACCAGAGCACTTCACTTCAATGTTTAGGTGCCATGGTTTATGACCCACGTTATGGTAAGAAGAATATGGGTTGAGAATATCTGACAGAATCCCAGGATGTATCTGAGGGCAGGAAAAACTGAACATGTTTGTCATTTGGGGACCTGCCTTGTCAGGCACTCAGAATTCTCCTGGGAGTGCTTCGGTTTGGCTGATCTACATTGCATGCGCCATCCTTCCATCAAATATTTACTAAGCAAGCAAGCTGGGCCAGATGTCTGTTTCACATGCGATTTGAGAGAGGACCGTGAGCATGAATCAGAGCCATTTTTCCTCAGGTCCTACTTCAGAAAAGGCAGAGTGGTTTGAGGGTGATGAGCAAGCTCAGATTAGTGAAGAGGTCCCTGAAGGCCCATTGGCTGATGAGGCAGCGGGGAGCCGGGGCCCCTCACTGGAGCCCCAAGAGAGATCTAAGGGCCCTCCACTTCCTCTGCCACAAGTTAGTCTCTGCAGCCTCAGTTTGTGATCACCACATTATCTAGCCCCGTCTAGGAGGCAGGTAGCCGATACTTGACAGGTGATCCTTTTCCTTTAGTGTTCATGCCTTTTTGGAGTCCTTATCACATCTGAGCTAAAGGATATACTTTCTCCGGTCCCTCTGATGTTTCTCAGCTTGAGTGCAGAATGGGAGGGAAGATGGGAGAAAAAATTCCCCCTAACCCTTAGAAGATTCTTCTG